CTGTGGAAATTGGCTCTGAGCTGATGTGTGCTGAGTTCTGCTTGTCTATTATTTTTTGTGTTTTTGTCTGTGTATACCCTGGCACTGAGAATTGGTATGAGGTATCATAATGACATTGCTGTAATTCAGGAAGGAGATATTGTGACCATATTTCCTGCAACTTGGCTGGTTGGTGGAGGAAACAACTATAAGGTGGTAATTCTTGTTTTTAATCTTTATCTCAAAGCATCTAAGGAGGTTAGAAATCTGTGGCTGTGAACCACTCTCCTGATTTGGGGATTTTCTGTTCATCATAATCACAATGTCTCTCTTGGATAAAATTCATCAACAGATTTATAGGAACTTGCAAGGTGGGTGACAGCGTATCTGTGCATGGCTAGAGGAGCTGACAGCTGCACACCTTCTCAGGTATCTGTGTGTATTTCAGGTACATGTTTTGTTATATTCACAACTAGTTTATTTTCATACAGAAACGAAAAGCTCAAAAATAAACTGGAAATGGAAACAAGTCTCCAAATATGGATACGCTGGTTTTAAGTCCGTAATGAGAAGTTTTGAACACAGACTGGCTGAATACTTGGACTCCTCTCAAACATCAGGCTTTCCAGTGTGAAGTCCTCCTTGATTATTCTGCTGGACTTCAGTGTCAGTAAATGTTATCATTATAAAGTGCTATTCTGTGAGCATATTTTAGCAGAGTTTATTTCAGACCATGGAGCTGCTGACATTCTGATCTGTATAATTCACACTCTGTCAGAACGTATAAACATTTGTCCATTTAAGCATGTAATCTGCAGAAACCACAGATAAAGAATATAAAATCTATTAAAAAAATGCGCCTGTGAAGCTCCGCTGCTGGACTCCACCAGTCCCAGCCTAATACACACTTGTTGAAAACTTAATTAAGTCATTCATCTGTGGTGACAGACTGATCTGCAGCTGTGCAGCCAGCCTCCCTGCACGCTGCTGCATAACCTGATTTGAGAAAGGACGGAAGGAAGCGGAGTAAAAAAAGGATTAGACTGAGAGAGGGAGAAGAAGCTGAGACAAAGAGAAGACGGGAAATCAGAAGTCAGCTGTGAGTCACTTGGTCGTGTGTGTGGAACATTTCATCCTGTAGTGTAGCATGGATTAATGTGATAAATGAGGGTATGCTGACAAACCAACATCCAACTACAGGAAAGAAGCTGAAAAGGCAAGAGTTTATGGGTATACATAGATGAATACTGACAAGAAAGTCCAGTTGGAAAAGCTGAACATATCAAAATAAACTGATGGTACTGATCAGCCCAGACCTTTGGAGGTGGTCCAGGGGAATCCAATCCAGCAATTTGAGATGAATAATGAGAGCCATAGGTTCCACTCATTGAACGAGTGAGCAAAAAAGAGAGAGTGAGATTGATTTGTGTATTTTAGCCCTAAAGTTGTGACGTGACACCACCATAACACTCTGATTATCTTACCGCATGCGTTTCAAAGACCAACAAACAGGCCTGAAAAACAACAGCAGCAGCTAAACAATAGGCCACAATATACTATTATATACTAAACATGCAGTAAAAGTTGACATGAAGCAACGGATTCCCTCATTTAGCATCATCATCATCATCATCATCATCATCAGAACAGTTGCTTAGCCAACTGCTTATAACAATATGCAACAGTAAGATCAAACCAACAACAAAATGAAATCGTATTCTTGCCTGTTCGAAGTTCATTCTGCGTCTGAACGTTACATCAAACTCTTGCAGAACGACCTCTGCATCAATTCCAATATCATGATGGATTTTGATCAGTGCTCAACATCTGCAGTGTCAACGCCGGGCCTTGTGACAGCTGTGAAGTTCATCATCAAAGCTTTCGCAGACTTTCTTAGAGAGCTGTACAAGTTCAATCTTACCCAAACCCAGAAGTTGATCCCTGATGATTCACTACAGAGAAACACTGAAGCCACCAGCTACACCACTCATTACTGAGGTCCCATCTCAGGCTTGAGTCACACACAGAAAGTTGTTCAGGCCATTTCCAAACACTTTTTCAATTGCATCTGTGATTGATTGCATATTGAAATACTTGACGTTGGCAACGCTCAAAGGAAGCGCTCTTTTACTGTGCAGTCGGCTCTAACGCGACGCTCACACAAGGCAAGCTACTCAACATGGCCACTCTTGCTTCGTCAGCTATCACTGCACACACTTTCAATTCTTTCATCTGTTTTATTATGCTCACAGTAACTTCAGCTGCACAGCACTCAGCATTGTGTTCTGTGAGGAGGGACAGAGAGAGAGGTAGAATTTGAGGGAGTTTTGGAGGAAGTTGAATTGTTCCAGGAGCTTCATCAGTCAAGTGTTAGGATCTGGTCCTGTTGTGTTCGCCCTTCCCTGTTCTCTGTGTCAGCAGTAGCAGTATTTAAGACCGGTTCATCTCACCATTCTTCGTGGTATTGTGCTATGGCTGACTCTTGTTTTTGGATCTTGCTCTTTTGGATTTCTGATAACCGTGACTTTCTCCTGAGCTTCAGGTGCCTGTCCAGTTTTGTGCTCGTCTGTCTGTGGAGTCATGTGACCTCAGTTCTCATTTCACCTGTCTGTTGGGACTCCAGTCACCTGTGGCTCTATGCCTGAAGAGGAATCCCCATTCCCCTCTTCACTGCCTGCAGCCAGTCACGGCCCAATCCCTTTCCCCAACAACGATTCTACCCCTGGACACTCTCCGTCATTCTGCCCTCAGCCCTGAGCCTTTTCTGCCCCCATCACAACTTCCCCTTGCTCCATAATTACAATAAAGAACTTATTTCACCTTTTACCTCTGGTTTTTGCGCTCTGCTTTGCGAGTTCAGAATGACTAAAAGCCTTACAAAAAATCCCCCTGACGCTGTTTTATCGTGGCCATGGAAAGCATCTTATTTAGTTTCTAATTACAGTATAATTTTGTATATTTTAGATCTAACACAGAATTAAATGAGGTTTTTAATCACAGCATGAATTAGGTTTATGGTGTCTAATTAGGGTATGACTGTGTTTGTTTACTGTCTAATACAGAACATATTATTACTAGTTTTTTTCTTATTTGAAAAAAAGGTTGGGTTGTGAAAACTTAATGAGATCAGCTCCAAATGTGCTCTATCCAACTGTTGAGAAGACGGTTCAATTACAAAGCTCTGATTTGTCAACTGTTTCCTCAGCAGCAGGAGATCCGAGTGTGATTCAAAGGCTGTGAGAAAATGAAATAAAAGAATACAAGCAGATAAAAATCGTTCCTCTGCATCAGCAATTTTTTTCTTGCTCGTCGACTCCTTGGCAGCTGCTGAGGATTATTTAATATTTACACTCAAAGTTTCCCATCAGTCCAGGAATCTGGACCCCTTTCTGTTTCCTCTCCCGGAGACATTGATCATGAATCACATTGCCTCGCTGTCTTGGGCCATTTGTGGCAGATGCTTTCGATACAGAAGCCAAAAATCCAGATCTGTGTAACTAAACCCCAACACTGTTTTTCAGCGGTCACTGAGTCATACCATTTTAGTGAGCCAGAACAGCGCAGTAGCTGTTGGGGGGGTCATGAGTGACGACACACTGATGATCTCTGGGTCTGCACATATAAAAGTGAGCAGCCTCCCAGTGTTCACTTCAGTGCAGGCGAGACCACCGTAACAATTATCTGCAGAGTACGAACATCAGGCAAATCTGGATGGATAAGGCTAAGCCACAGACATAAGGTGAGTAGCAGATAGAAAGGAAAGTGTGTCTGACCTTTCATTTCTAGACCCGTTTTGTCATTTACAGCTGCTTTGAACAAATTAATTAATAACAGTATATCTGTAATAAATGCAGATATGATGATGAGGCAATTTCTGCTGTCTAAGCCATGGACAGTCTCAAACAAAAATGTAATTAGTAAAAAACAAAATAGGCAGAATTTGTCACTATATATCACACAATACGTCAAGAGTGAAAGTAGATCACTGAGCCGTTCTACGATGGTATCTGTTTCTCGTAGGTGATGAAATGTGTCTCATTTCAGCATGAATTTATAAGGGAGGCAGCGGCATTCATCGAAATATTTAATACTGAGATAACATTTTCAAACAGGAATGCAAGAACTGTGTTCTTCCAAAGTTATACAGCACAGTTTTTCCATGCTTTTATTACACCATATCTCTACTACTGTAAACACCTTGTTCATCCAACAGGCTGTCTCATCCCTATTGGCTCAAATTAGGGTCAAAGTGATTTCCAGCTGCTAAAGTGATGTTCACAAATAATTCTATAGCTGTAAATCAATGTTTGTAAACCTGTAAAATAAAGCTACAGTGTAGAAAAAAACAGAGATGGATACAGAGCAGCAACTAATCAAAGCTACAATGATGAAACATTATCTGTACCAGCAGAGTGCAAATTATACTATGACACTAAGGGGAGATCAACTATTTCTCCAGGGTGAAAGGGAACCCACTACAGTCCAGGATTGTGCTTCAATAAACTGAGGTGTTGGGCACACACAAATATTAATACTGTCAATGACCCAACAGATAAAACTCCTGAATTCTTCAGTAAACACAAAGGGGGTGCCTATTATAAAAACTAAACCACCACACCAAATAAAAAAAAATAAAATCCATATTGATGTCAAAACGTATCTCTATAACAACTAATCCTCCATTGTCCCACTGCACATGACTGAGAACCAGTGTGTGCTAAAATTAAATCAAATATGACATTTTATATTGGTAATGAAATGACAAGTCAACATTGGAAATGAAAGGATGCATTAGCTAACAGTAGTTAGCTAAACCGTAACTAGGGCTACAGTAGGAGACTAGCTAACATTAGTTAGCTACACTGTAACTTAAGGCTAAAGTTAGGAACTTGCTAACATTAGTTTGATAAACTGTAACTGTAAACTACTGTAACTCAACTGTAACTGTAAGTGAAGTGTATTTACATGAACCTTGCCTGGTTGCTTGTGTTGACCCTGTTTTTTGTCATTCACAGTTTCCAATGGCTGTGAATTCATCAGACTGGTTGGTCCCAACTGTGGGCCCAGAGTTGGACCCCTGCGGTAACTACACTGAAGCTTGGCTGTGGCTGTCCTCCCTGCAGCCGGCCTTCCTGGGTTTGATCAGTGTGATGGGGCTGTTGGGGAACAGCCTGGTTCTCTGTGTGTTCTGCCTGCAGAGGAAACCCTGCACTGTGGCTGATGTCTACCTGGGGAACCTGGCAGCTGCTGACTTCGTCATGATCTCCTGCCTCCCCTTCTGGGCTGTCACCATCGCCCAAGGCTACCAGTGGGACTTCGGAGAGATCCTTTGTAAGCTAGTCAACGTGGTCATCTCTATGAACTACATCTGCAGTGTTCTGTTCCTCATGCTGGTTAGTATGGACCGCTACTTGGCTCTGGTGAAGCCCCTGTGCCCTAGCCGTCTGAGGAGAGCTGCCTGGGCCAAGCGTATCTGCCTGGGGATCTGGATCCTGGGCTTCCTCTTCAGTCTGCCCATCCTGCTCTTCCGCACAGTGACGTACGTAAAGGATGCCAGTGTGGATGCCTGCATTCTGGACTACCCCCACCCAGCATGGAGGTTGCACCACAACATCAGCAGGAACGTGGTGGGTTTTCTAATTCCCGTTCTGGTAGTGGTTTACTGCACTCGTCACATCGTGGCTGCTCTGAACGACCGGGGAGCCAGTGGACTCCCTGGGGTGAGGGCAGAGAGGAAGGCTGCCTACCTGGTTCTGGCCGTGCTGGCCGTCTTTCTCTTCTGTTGGACACCACACCAGGTGATGCTTTTTCTTGACACTCTGGATTACTTTGAGGTCACGCCCGGGTGCCTATGGGGACATGTCCTGGACATTGGCATACAACTGTCCACATATCTGGCGTACAGCAACAGTGCTCTGAACCCCTTCCTGTTTGTCATTGTGGGGCAACATTTTAGGAGAAAGGCAAAGGAGGTGTTTGGAAAAACTTTGAACCCCTGGTCAAAAGATATGAGCTACCTGAGTGTGAGCTTCACTTCAGTGAACAGACTCAATGAAATACAGCATGTCAATATTGAAAAACTGGATATATCTTGACCATGACAACTACATCATGACCAGCTACTGTGGGGACTTCTTCAGTATGCACTGAAAATTAACACTGTACTACAATCACTTGATGAGAGTATTTTCCTGCAGTCATTATTAAGTTGATATGTGAAATTGTTAACATTTAACAGTTGCTTACTTATACATTGAGCAGACACAGAGAGGCATTAGCATTAATTTTGAGTCCTGTTTGTATCCATCTGGTAAATGTAATCATGTGCACAAACTGCTCTGCTGTTTTCGTCGACTCTTTTTGTTGGTGCTCCTGGAACAGCGCATACAGGCAGAGCTGCTAAAACAACACGGTAAGACTAGAGCAGTTATCATTTTCAAAATGCACAGCTTTGGTTTGCATAGCTTGGTCCTAATCATTAGTGAAATTTTTCAATATTGGTAAATGTCAAGGTATTAATCATGAGCATCAATGCTCCCTGATATTGATACTCTCTGGGTCTTTGTTTTGCCGGCGGAAGTCAGTCGTATTGTTTTCAGGTTGTCTGTCTGTTCATACGTACGTCTGTCTGTCAAAATCTTGTGGACACAATACCTCAGAGAGAACTTCTTAAAATTTAGTACAAACATTCACTTGGACTCAAAGATGAAATGACCTGAAATTAGTCTGAGTGGCTGAGGCATACAACCGCAAGGCAGTAGGTAATTCTAGTGTGCCTCTGTTTTCTGTTCACCACTTAGTGTCTAACTGTCAGCTGGTTGGCTCAGGGCAGCTAGTGTACAGTGGGCTTATCAGCGCTATCCTGCTGAAAACAGCTGCCTGTTGGACATTAGGTTGATGAGAGCTGAGTCATTAAATCAGAACAAAGAGAGAAGACACAAACGCTCTGTTGAACTGAGTGATGACTCTCTGTGGTTTGTTTGTGGGTGAAGGGTTGGGGTAATTATTTATATCTTTTTATATTAAAAAAAATGCTGATTTGTGCAGCTCTATTTAAAACGTCTGGTGCATTGTTCCAAATTATTCTTGTTGAGCTAATTACTGAAGCTTGTGTGCACATGTAATTCCTATAGGGGTTTATTAGCATTTATTAGCCCTGTGTCTGTACCTTATTGCCTTTGCCATTGTTTTGTTGATGCACTGAGAAATATTATCTTCAAAAGACTAACCCCATTTATGATGTACTTGATGCTAAATTACTACTGGTGAGTGCTGAAGATGAATCCCAATGTGATTTATGTGATCTTTCATTGTATCTGAGCTTCTTCTGTCTATCACTAATTGCATCATTATGAAGTCTAACTATTCAAATGTGACTGAACTAAACAAAGGTCATATTGTTCCTAAAAGAAGCAAACATCTGATTGTCTTACTGCATTAGTTGTTAGTCATTTTTTAATCAATGTGTGTTTTTTTGGCACAGAAGGTGGAATTAATGCAACTTATCCATGGTTTTCACAGTTTGCACTAAAGACATGCCCTATATATTAGCCCTCATCACAAACCCCAACCAGCCTCAGAGCAGTTACACTATCACTCAGAAGATTAGACCCAACCAAAGTATAACTAAAGAAAAACAAAAATACATGAGCTATTGGAATAATATTGCACGCTCACAACACAAACTAGAGACATATTGTGCCCTAAACAGACACTAGTAGTCTGCCTACTGTGGCAGACTACCTGACCACACTAACTGATAAAAACCTGAGAAAGACAATGTACAGAGTGAGCACCGTCTGGCAATAAAGAAGGGCAGACACAAGCAGACCTGGCTGCCCAGAGAGGACTGTCACTGTGATGACGGAGCTGTAGAGACAGAACTCTGTCAAAAATACAGAAACATTAGGGAAGGTTTCCCCAGATTTAAAAGTTTAACAAGCCAGAGAGAAATTACTGATTATTCTGGGGGAAAACAGAGAATGTGCAGTGTTCACTGCTAAATATGTCACTTCCTGTCACAACAGAAGACAGCTATATTTATTTGATCTGTTTTTATTTATTTATTTGATAACTGCTTTTACTTATGTGTATGTTTATCTATACGTATATGTGTGTATATGTATAACATTTTTTACTTTTTTACTTTTCTTTTCTTTTCTTTCCTTTTCTTTCTCTTCTTTTCTTTCTGAGATTTAAATCAGAATTAAAAATAAATAAATAAATAAAATCACACGTGGGCGTAATCCACTTCGGTAACCTACCGTTGGGAAAGTTACTCGGTTTTACTTTGAAAGTTTAGAGCGGAAATCAAAACTTTTTCTCCAGCTCGTTTGATTTGCATACCGAACGTGCGCCGTCGCTGACTTCCGTACTATCAGTTGAACTGCAAACGTCCACAGGTCGTTCGTCCAGTTCGGTTTCTGTCGGCTGTCTTCGATAAGTTGTCACTCTTTGAACTGCCACAGCGGAACTCGTCACAAACCGCTGTGAGGACTCTGCGTGTGTTCAACTGAAAAGTTGAGTATAAACCCGGTACAAACTGGTTTTGTGTGACAATTCTTATATGTTAACTCCAAGTAGATTTACAGAAACAGTTGTGTTCGTCGAGTTATGAGAAGATATTGCTTTAAAACTTTTTTTTGTCTGTACCAGAGAGGGGAAACCATCCACCCGGCTTGAAATTCAAAGTGAGGCTGAGTAGTAACAACGTCAACAGTGTACCGTGTAGAGTAAACAGTCGAAGCGACTTTACCTGACAGTTAAGTTAATATGTTTTCAACGTAACCGGGGAAGCCTTTAGTAAAATACCGGGAACTAGCATCTCTGCGTGTAGACGTTTTGTGTCGCATTTTGACTCAAACATTTGCGATTCAGTTGGGCGAGACTCGGCTAATCCTGAGCAACAGTGACAACCCTGTTGCTTTGTGTGTCACAGAAAAGCCTTAAAACTGTACTTATATCATGTAAACACTGTACCAAGTTAACCTGAAAGACTACGTGTAACATAGCATGGATTTGTATGTTTTTCTTTAGCCTTATGATGACCTGATGGTAGCAAAGCGGGATGGTCAATATAACGGCAAGCAGGGGGTAAATAAAGGGTTGCCTTGCTAGTTCACTCTCACATTATCACAAGAAACTTTTAAAACTTGGAACAGTTTTTATTTTTACCACCATTAGAATACATTAGAATTCTCTTTTTAGTAGACAGGCCATGTTCTGTTATCAGGAGACTGGTAAGAAAATTAGGGATGCACTAGTCTGACCTCTTCCCTCCTCATACAAAACCTAAACCTGGTTTCACAAAGATATTTCAGACTGGTCTGTAAAGTTGGTCCAGTCTAAATTTTGCTCATAAATAAGTCTGATGCAAGTCAGACCCTTTGTAAAAAATAAAGACATAGTAAATAAATGACACCTGAGCTGACCAGTAGCATCCAACAGCAAAAAACAGGAAAACATGGCTCACAATATGTGCTTTGCAAACACTAACTTATATATATATATATGTGTATATTTTTTTAAGGTCAGTATGTGCCAATACTGATGTTGTGAATTTCTAAAGAAAGTGAGGACAAAGCAAATTAAATTTATCATTTATTAAGGTGGAGAAAAAAACAGTTCTTCAAACCTGATAATGTTGAAGGTATTTGTAGTTAACTTGTTTAGATGTTGATGTAAAAAATGTCTCCTGCATTATACATTTTCCTGGATTCAGATAAGATAAAATTATGTCATAGCACAATACCTTACCAATGAAAGACAAGGTTTGGCAATTGAATGGTTGAATGATTCATGATTTGAAACAGAAATCCCTCTCTACAGTCTCTACATTTGAATAATACCTTAGTGTACACATTTTTCCTCTATTGATGAAATTGCTAATGCCAATTATAAAATGTTACACATCAGCAAGGATATAGATAGATGGTTCAACCAAAAACTGTTGTTATGTAGTCGAATATAAATCATTGTTTTATATATTTAGCATTACGTTGGTGGGCTGAACTGTTGTCTCTGTTTGCACGGCAGCATGAGTCTTCGAGAAATCAGTGAGAACGTGAAGCTGGCCCGCGAATACGCCTTGCTGGGAAACTACAACTCGGCCAGTGTCCTCTATCATGGATTGCTAGAACAAATCAAAAAGTATTTGTACACCGTGCGGGACAGCAGTTTTCAGCAGAGATGGCAGCAGGTAAATATGACATTAAAAAAATGTTAGAAAAACAGTTAAAAAACCCATCAGATCATAATCAAGGGAATTTGGCTTTTCTGATGCGTGTGTTTGTTTCTCAGTTGTGGCAAGAAATTAGTGAAGAGAATCGACAGGTTCAGGATATAATGTCAACTCTGGAGAACTTTCAGCTGGACACGACGCCTGCCAAACCCAGTAACCACGATGATTGTGACATAAGGCCTGTACATGTGGAGCCGAGGTATGGAAGTTGGTTCTTTATACACAATCTTAATTTTCTAACTTTCATCCATTGCTTAAATCCATTTCCTTTCTTCACTGTTAAAATCTATTTTTATACCTTCTGAACTTTGTAGACCTCGTTCACTGTTCACCTTTGCTGTTCACCACTCTGTGGTCGGGGGTTGTATGAGCCGTTTGTCTGTGAACAATAGCCTGACACAGTCATATGATGGAGATTAGCAGACTTGAGTCCCTGATGTGAGTCTGGTTTGTTCCTGCTCTGCCCTGTGGAAAGGTGGCCTGTAAACCTCACACTGCCTCTTTGTTTGGTTGGTTGGGTTTTTTTTTGTTTTTCTTGTTGCATTAATACACTTGTTGAGTATTTCCTCAAGCAGTGTTGTGTTGAAGTCTTTTAATCAGTTATTTAGGGTGTTATATTATTTAAATAAGCTTTTACACTTCCAATGCCGCAATAAATATACCACAGACACATTCTGAAAATTATTGCCTTAGCCTTTCTAGTGTTGTTGTTTTTAGTCCAGTCCAAAGCTAATTACAGCACTCATTAGTGCTCTGGCATGAGTAAAAGCACAGCCACAGATATTGTGAGTAATATAATTGTTTGGAATGATAAAAATGCATGACTTTGACTTTATTTATATCAGGGACCAGGTACAAAATACATTAATGGCAAAAAAGAGAACGATGCTCGTACCAGATTTAGCTACTTGCTCATTTCCATCTGCAGTTCCTGGACAGGTGAGCGGAACAGGAAACAGGAAAACACAGAGCAAAACCCAACATCACAACTGCAAATATGCCAACATCCTATAAATAACCATGCAGATATACACACATATACACACACACACACACACACACACACATATATATACACAAAGGCACAATAACAACCTTGATGCAAAAATGCAAAACAGAATATTGTTATGTCCACGCAACATGAATACACCATCTTCCCCAATTCCCAAGCAGCCACAGGAACAAATTACTAGACTGTGAACTGGTGTTTTTATTTACTCCTACATTTATAGGAGAGTGGATTTCAGCTTCAGGGTGGACAAAGGCCAAAATAACAAACAAAGCAAATCTATATAGAAACAAAACATCAACATAACCTGCCCAAATATAACAAAACCAAAGTACATCAACTACAAAAAGGTACATGGATGTGCCAGGACGAAGACGTGGTTCTCTCCCCTTGCAGCTCAGCCGTGCCATCTTGGTTCCTTATGTCTAGGGCTGCACAATAAATCGAAATGTAATCGAATTCGCAATATGGCCAAATGCAATATCCAAATCGCGGGAGCTGTAATTTTTTTTGATGAAGATAAAATGTGTGTGTGTGTATTGTTAGCACCATAAGTGTTGTGGTGCTACAGAGAGCCAATTGGCTACAACTGCAGAAACTGTGCACCGATCACCAGCTTGTTCCTGGCACACACCTATTTACATACACTCACTCATGCACACGTCACGCCACCTTTCAAACCACAGTGAAAAACATAAGAAAAAAACCACCATATGACCGCAGTCGTAACAATGCACATATGAAAATAGTACATGCATGTCAGATTAATGCTGACAGGACTAGTTACTTATAATCCATTGTTAATATCCCCATTTCCCTCTTTTCCTTTCCCAGACACTCTCCTTGTCCCGTCAGGCGGCCTACTAACCCCTATAAAGACAGCAAGCCTCCAAACAACCGGCTGAGCGTGGCTGTGAGGGCCCAGCAGAGGCACTCGCCTCGGGGGGCCAACGGGGACAGAAGCAAAGTCTCCAAGGGCAAAGAAAAGAAGGAGGCAAAGGAAGCCACTGGCAAAACAAAGGAGGATAAGGTGAACGATTGTGAAAGAATGCACAACCTTCTCAGTCATTATATTAGAGAACATATATTCAGACACAACTATTTGCGTTGTTGATTAAACACTGTCCTCATGCTGCTCCTTTGTACCCACATCCATGCCGAGCCTGTCGTTCCAGTTTTTTGTGTGGGAGAAAACTGACCACGTGGGTTACATTCAGGGAGCAGGGAACAGTGATCATGTGTTGTGTCTCCCTTTCAGAACAAAGCAGAAGTCCAGGAGAAGGAAGTGAAAAAGTTTGACGGGACAGGATATGACAAAGACCTTGTGGAAGCTCTGGAGAGAGATATTATATCTCAGAATCCAAACGTTAAATGGTATGTTTTTACAATTTAGTGTGTGTGAAGACATGAGCCTATATTCCTGTCATGTCGTGTATAAATTCCCATGCATGTCCCAGAACTGTCTCCGTACTCGACAGAGATTAAATGATATAAATCCGTGAGCAGGAAAAAGACCTATAGCCAAAAGCAGCGTGCCACATCTGCAGAAATACTACATGATAACCAGCATCTGTCTAACCTGTTTCTGCAGGGACAACATCGCAGACTTGGAAGATGCAAAAAAACTGCTGAAAGAAGCGGTCGTGTTGCCCATGTGGATGCCAGCATTTTTCAAAGGCATACGAAGACCATGGAAGGTACTGACTGAGGAGATTTAATCTGACTTCTCTTGTTATGTGTTTCACTCTAACATGGGACTCACGTCTTACCTCAGGGGGTGCTCATGGTCGGACCTCCGGGCACAGGGAAAACACTTTTGGCCAAAGCCGTCGCTACAGAATGCAGAACCACATTCTTCAACGTTTCCTCATCTACTCTCACCTCCAAGTACAGAGGGGAGTCTGAGAAGCTGGTTCGCCTCCTGTTTGAAATGGTGAGCTCACACGCGCGACATGGGTGTCATGGCTGTTCATGTTGTCGGGAGAGTATTTGTCCCCTTTGAGATTTCTCCTGGACTCAGTCGTTGTGTTTGTGCTCGTGCAGGCACGTTTTTACGCTCCCACTACAATCTTCATCGATGAAATTGACTCCATGTGCAGCCGCAGAGGGACGTCCGAGGAGCATGAGGCCAGCCGGAGAGTCAAGGCGGAGCTGCTGGTGCAGATGGATGGTACAACACCAGTGACACCTCCTTATACACAAATGTATTTTTCCAGCGTTCTTGATATATGTCAGCTGTTTTAACTGCAGTCACGTCTGATCGAAGCGTTAGTTTTCAGAGGCGTTCTCTGTCATTGCTGTCGCTCAGGTGTCGGTGGAGCATCAGAAAACGACGACCCGTCAAAGATGGTCATGGTCCTGGCTGCCACCAACTTCCCATGGGACATCGATGAGGCGCTGAGGAGACGGCTGGAGAAGAGGATCTACATCCCTCTGCCTTCAAGTATAGTCATTTCTCTCATTTACTCTAATTTACCTCTGCAAACACTAAATGTTCGGATAAACCATGTTCTCAATCTAAAGCTCTTCTCTCTTCCATAGTGGTTCCATTATGTCAGTCAGCATATTGTTTTCAGGTTGTCCGTCCGTCCCATTCTCATGGACACGATATCTCAGTAACGCCTTGACTGAACACAAACATTCAGTAGGACTGTTATGAGATATGCATGAACTGTTTTGAGAGCTGCATTAAGAGTTGTGAGTTGCATCGAAGCGATTGAGAAAAACTGTAACTGCACCCTTAATAACTGCAGAGTGTGAGGTCAGGGGTTAGAGGTGCCCCCCCCCCCCCCCCCCCCCCAAACCAAACAACACAGTTGTACACAGGCCTTTCAGGGACCAGAGCAAGTTGTTTGTGCTGCCCAGTCAGTCGTCCGGTCTCCACTTCACTGTGTCCTTTATGTTTGCAGCCAAGGGGCGAGTGGAGCTGCTCAGGATCAACCTGAAGGAACTGGAGCTGGCCGGCGATGTGAATTTGGACAAGATCGCGGACCAGATGGAGGGTTACTCAGGAGCCGACATCACCAACGTGTGCAGGTCAAACCGATCTTCAAAATAAAGTCGACTGTCTTCCCAGTGGCTTCTTTTACAAACAGCACAGAGACAAAACAACACGTTTACGCACAGAATAAGCTCTATGTCGTAGCTAAGAGATATACAATAGAGTAGATACAACAAGGCGCATTGGTAGAGCTTTTCTGAAAAACTGAAGGTAGGAAGGATTTCAGATGAGCACCATAAAAGCGAGAGCTGAGAGATTCATGTAGTTAAAAGCCTCTACTGAAATCTGTGGTCACACTGGTTGAAATGAAACTGTTGTTCGATGCTGCAGGGACGCCTCTCTGATGGCCATGAGGCGAAGAATCGAGGGCCTCACACCAGAAGAGATCCGCAACATTTCCCGGGACGAGATGCACATGCCCACCACCATGGAGGACTTTGAGTCGGCTTTGAAGAAAGTTTCCAAATCTGTGTCTGCAGCCGACCTGGAGAAGTATGAGAAGTGGATTGAAGAGTTTGGGTCTTGCTGAAAAAAAAAAAAAAAAGGCGTCTGAGTGTGTGACTGGTTTGTGTGTGTGTGTGTGTGTGTGTGTGTGTGTGTGTGTGTGTGGTTTCATGGTGGTGGCTGAGTATGTGTCTGAAGCAGTTAGGTGAAATATTACATCAGGTAAATAAGTCCAGTTGACAAATAGAGCCTCTTCCTGTCGAAAATTATGTTTTGAAAATCTAGAAAGGTGAAAAAGGTGAAAAGTAGCCGATTTTTTTCACTTTCACTGGAAATAAATTTCAATTGCAAAATGTTTTAAATGTATGTGTTTCAAAACTCTCAAAACCAAGTTAATTCACCTTTCCTTCTTAAGTGTCATAACAGTTGCTTTGTACCGTCGTGTCTCACAATGAGATTCTACACAAACTGTCGTTCCTGTATTTGTTTGTGTTTTTGTTGATGCGCTTAATTTTATGTGAAATTGACACGTGGTTCTTTTACATTTTTGTTGATGCTAATTTTTATGAACACAACACTAACAAGGTATTTCTATGAATAAATTTAACAAGTGTTTATGGATGTTAACATTGTCTCACATGTAAGTTCATTTGTTGTGTTGGCTGCAGTCAGCTGGTGGATGGTATTTTGAGCCTTGTGACTGTTGTTGATCTAGACATGATTTCACGGCTGTAGTTGGCCTGACGTGGACTCACACAGAACCATACGATCCTACAGGCATCTGTCAGTTTCTAGATGCTGCTGGTGTGAAAAGTAGTTGCAATATTTATTTTGCAGGAAGTGGCGTGTGATTGGTTTGGCCTGTGGGTTTCAGATAGTGACCACACAGTTGAATGTACTTTTAACTCTTGATAAATAGGTGCATCAATAATTTCCTCCTGTAAAAATATTTAATAGATTCACACCAATTCCACATCTTTGAGGCGATAATTGTATTATGATATATTGGCTTTTTTTTTTTTTGCACATGAATACAAACATTGCAGTTATTAAAGAATTGTGACCGGGATGTGTACGGAGCTCATAGCACCGCAAAGCACTGCAACTTAAGAAAACACAGAACAAATTCAGAAAATATCTTCATCAATTAAACAACATGTGCTGCAAATACTCACAACACAACTCTCCAATCAAATTTCCTGGTCAGAACTGTTGTATATTATCATTTGGTGCTTTACAAATAAAATAGAATTGAATTGAATCACATTAGATGTCCGAGGGGAACCTCAAGTCTTTTGTAACGTTAGATTACACGTGCACATGGTCGTTCTGAAAACAAAATGTTCATGTTGTGCTCTCTCAGCTTGCACAAACACAATCAGGCAATACAGAAATGTGACATGTCATCAGGTGATACACAGTCCAGCTGTAATTCATGGAGTTAATGCAGACAAACATCTCAAATTAAAAATATTGTTTGTTTTATTCTTCAGCAACACATCTGAATTCATGCCTGGCACATCGTTGGCCTTACAGCCTAATTCAGCACGTCTCTATTCAGTGCATCAGTTTGGACTTGGAGGCGTACACTTGACAGGTTGAGTTGTTTTGAGTCATCATGCAGTTTCCTAGTTTTAATGTATAACCTGCTGACAGAACAGCAAACTGCATTCACAAGCTACACTACACATGCACCTTTTGCTAACGCAGCACGTCATGCATCCTGCAGCTTAACTGAACCCTGGGGAGAGACGGAAAGAAAGTCTCAGCTGCTCTGAGTTTCACAAACTCACATGTTTTTTTGTTTGTTTTGGGTTTTTTTTTTTTATTTTTATTTTTTTTTTAAGCGTGACAATTAAGTTCTGAAATAAAAAAAAGATACACTGACACTTGCTGAGTTTTGAATTAATAAAACCCATAATAACCTGCCCCAGTCTGCTTTGGTCCCTCACACACAGCCTACTGGGACTGATCCTCATCTCAGTCACTCTGGTCTATAAATCATGATCAGATTTACCACACACACAAAATAAAGGAAACATGAACATCCATGCAGGTTCAACTCCAGTTTACACTTTGAATTTCTGATCACGTCCTGTACAACCACTGTATTTTACATCGGTCCAGTTAAAGCAGGAATTTGTCTTTAATCTGTCTTCATTTAGAGTGCATTGACAATCTGAACAACCTCACTTTCACTCTCCGTTAATAAAAAAAGAAAGTCACACACACAATTAACCAAAGTAGAATAAATTATAATCCCTGTCTTCAGTCATAGGATCCCTAAAACAGTCACTGAGGCACTGAGAAGAATGACAATCAACATCTGAACCTCAACTCTGGACGACAGGACTTCTCTTCAGTAGTGACATTCAGACCCAGTTTCAAAGTGGTGTGTGTGTGTGTGTGTGTGTGTGGGGGGGGGCAATAACCAATGTGCAGACACAAGCTTTATAATGACACAATGACCTGCATCTTTTTTTTTTAAGGTTGAAATATTACCTCACTTCATCAGAGCTGTCTGTGACAACAAACCATTATTGTCTGACAGATCCGCAGACACCACCTGGCTCATACTAAATAAACACATTTCCAATAAACTCACTTTAGTGCACTTGCTGCCTCAGAGTTTCCTTCACCACTCAGCAGTGGGGCGCAGTTTTGGAAAATAACAATAATGTGAGAAAATCGATGTGACCTGTACAGAACTGCTACATACAGAAAGAATTTTCAGTGAACAGAAAAACTCCAAATCACTGGATGCATCTGCTAAAATGTTCAGTTTGTTCCGATTCATTTGTTAAACCTGCTTTCCTAAGCTAGCGACTGTTCTGGTGTGTGTTGCTAAGTTTTGGTGACATGATACAACAACGAAAAAAAAACAAACTTTGACAAAACTGTTGCTATGAAGCTTTTGATCTGCTGCATATCACTTCCATTTTTTCCACTTTGAGGACGTGTCGTCAATGTTGGCTTATAAGACTAGGTCTACGGTTTAGGATGAAAGGATCAAGTGCTGACTTCCTGGAGTTGGGGCTGTTACTTTTATTCAAAATTCAAACTTTTGTTCTCAAATGTTGGACAAAAGTAAATAAACTAAAACTAAATAAACGACAATAAGCAGTTTAATTAAACATTAAGTTTGAAGTAGTTTCCTCTACGAGTCCAGCAGTTAGCGTTCGAAAAAATTCACTACCAACTTGACCTACTGCATGTCCCGCTGACCTACCAGTAGACAGCTGATAAATAAAAATGGAGGACCCTGATGAGTGTGGAGCCGTTCTGGGTTCTCTGTATATCATCAACAAACACAGGGCGAGTGCTTTACTCTCCAGCCACAGCAAATCTGAGAACTCGCCCTGTGCTGCAGCGGAGGCACCAGAAATGAGGAGCAATGACTCTCACGTCACCCAGGACACAGAAGTGTAGAACTATTCCTTTAAAAGCTTGGATCAGATGATCTTCATAAAGAGCTGTTGCTAAATGTTTCCAAAATATTTGGAAGAATAAGCCTCTTTGCTCTGGCGTGTTTTGGAGAAAAACAAAAGTACTCAAGGTCATTGCTGATTAAAAAGTAACTCGTTACTGAGCTGGACAAGAAAAAAAGTGCATCATCATTTGTGACTTAATAAAAGTGGCTTTTCACAAACTCTGCCTGACCAATCACAGCAAAGAGTTTGGTTGTCTATGCTCATTTCTTTTCTCTAATACTCGCGTATACTCTTGAGTAATACTCTAATACTCTAATAACGAGTGGGACTTCACGTGACTGCTCTTAGCTGACATCACTGTAAACCACTCACTGTGATCATGTGACTAAATCAGAGGGATTCATGTGAACTATCATTAAACCAGGAAACTGAGTTCAGTCAATCTGATGGCTTTAAAGCAACCCCCCCTGTTCGTGGCTTATGTGCGTAAATTGAAGTGAAATGCGAGTGATTCAAGTCTGAATATAAGCGAGGGACAAAACCAGGCCATGCTGAAACCCTAACATAGGAACCAAGGTTAAAGAATAAACAAGAACAAACTGAAAACAAAGGTAGTGGTCGAGCCAATCCCCTTTCAAGGCTTCTTCTCTTCTCCCTCTGCTTCTATCTCTATGTTCTCCAGCAGAGTGTGCTTCTCATCCTCTGGGATCAGGGTGACGGGGTTTAGGTGAAAAATGTGCCTTTAAAAAAAAAAAAAAAAAGAGAGAGAAATATATAAGTATATACAAATATAAGAGTTATACAGAGATGTTGAAGACAATCAGGGACAAGCAATGCCCCACCAAAGGCTCCGACTGCCCCACCTAATTGTCCCGCTAAATAAAGCTGTGAGGGATTCACAGATTCGCCAAACTCACTTGTGTTCGCACGTTGGGAAGAACATGTCCAAGATCTTGACTATGACGGCTGATCCCACGACGCCGATCACCACCACCCACATGACCAGGAAGAAGAGAGGCAGGGACTCGGAGCAGAAGCGCCTCAGACGCTCTCGCACCTTCTCCACCCACTGACACATGGCCTGAAGACCAAACGGATCATCATCATCATCATCTCATTTTAATTCAAACAAATCAGAAATAAAGAATAGAAAACATATAATTTCAGCCACAAAAGACCTAAATCCTAAAACCCTGAAAGGAATAACTAAATAGTCCAAAACATTTATCCCATCAGTCCATATATCAATCAATCAGCAATAAATGGTAGATAAAAAATAACTAGCTAAATATAGTAGCTCAGTAGAGCAACCAGCTCCTAAGACTCCAACCTTTTAGGGAACACAAATTAAAATATAAATATAGATATTCAAATATATTCAGAGCAGCAGGGAAAACAGAGCGGCTCGGTAGACTAGGGCTCGGCACTCTGCTGCATCATGTTTGTTGAAAGCCATGTCAGTGCATTCCCCCCAGTAAACTGATCTTCCTGTGTTTGTTCCCAGTGACTCCGCCCCTGAGGCACTGTGAATGTCATCAAGCAGCTCTCACATCAGACTCTACTTACAGAGTAAGATGATATAAATTCTTTGGGTGGAGTTTCCATCTGAATCTGATCCGGCTGGCTCGGTCGGTCATCGAGTCCGTCGTCTATCTCATACAGCAGGTCGGGGTC